GGTCCTCCCCACAATGTACAAAATGTGCTTGCATTGGTGGATAGAGGAGCCAAACCGACCTTGTTATTCAGCAACCCTACAAAATTCCAAGGGCCCACAGTAGTAACGGATGGTTATGGCAGGCGCTCCCCTCCATTGTGGAGGCACAAGTGACTGGAAATTGGACAGTTGGCACCTTAACCATATAGGGTGTACATGGCCCCAGTGCCAAAATACATCCTGGTGGGGGGTGGATGTCTTCCAAGGATTGTGATTAGACACTACAGTGGGAGAATTTTGGCTACACATATGAGTAGTAAAAATGGTGGTGCAGAGGCATCCGCACTGCCCTCCAGTATGTGTGCCAGGCCTGCACAGATGGTGCATGTGAAACACTGTAAGTTGCCAAGAGGCCAAAAAGAGATAACAGGCACTATTGCAGAACTGGAAAAGGCACACAGCCCTTATAATTCTTCCATATGGGTGGTAGGGAAACCGGACAAAACTTGGCACATGACTGTGAACTATTTGGAGCTTAATAAAGTTACTCCACATTTACATGCTGCTGTGTCCTCGGCCAAGGACATTTTAGACCAATTGACTTTGGTGGATTTGGCTAACGTTTTCTTCTCCATAGACTTGGTGCTGAAAAGTCAAGATCAATGTACCTTTACCTGGCAAGATTGCCAATGGACATTTTTGGTGTTGCCTCAAGGATACATGCATAGTCCAACACTGTCATAATTTGGTTGCCAAGGATTTGGCTACTGGGACACCTTCTGGTGTATACCTGGCTCATTATGTTGATGACATTTTATTAACCTCTCATTCTCTTGCACAACGAGAAGAAGTAGCAGCATCTTGGCAATTGGCCCTATCGTGATGGGGTTGAGCAGTCAACGATGCCCAAATGCAAGGACCTGGCTGTTCTGCCAAATTCTTGGGTGTGTATGGTCGGGTTAGACTCCAACAATTCCCAACGTCATTATTGACAAAATGAAGGCATGCCCAATAACACAGGACAAAGTACAGCTACAAGCCTTCCTAGGTCTTTTGGGATATTGGAGGGCATTTATCCCACACTTGGCTTTAACCGTAGCTCCCTGTATGCCCTAATGTGAAAGGGTACGACATGGGCTCGGACTGACTTGAAACAGACTGCCTTCGTTAAGGCAAAATTGTTACTGATGCAAATGTATGCCCTTACTGTTATTAGAAACTAGAAACTGTTTAAACTGGATGTTACTGTAGCACCAACAGGATATGGTTGGGGTCTCTGGTAAAGACAAGATGGCACACAAGTGCCTATTGGTTTTTGGTCCCAATTATGGAAAGGAGCTGAGCTCCACTACACTTTAATTGAGAAACAGCTAGCAGCAATGTATGCTGCTCTAATAGCTAAAAGACCCCTGGTGGGGAAACAAGAGGTTAAGGTCTGGACTAAGGATCATAGCAGGATGGGTACAATTTTGGTCAAAGTCTCCCAGGATGGGAGTAACTCAAAGTCTCTCAAGACTAAAGTAGCTCTAAGTTTCTCAGGACAAGAATAAGTCTAAATTTCCCAGGATGGGAGTGAGGCTAAGTTTCCCAAGACAGGAGTAAATTAAAGTCTCGCAAGATGGGAGTAACTCAAATTCCCACATTGGCCAAGTGGGGAACCTATTTCGAATAATGTGCCAATTTGGAGTCCAGTTCATTAGGAGAACAGCTGGCAGCTGTTGCAAGACCTTTAGAATTTACTTCTGGTGAAGTTGATATCCCAGATATAAGATGGACCCTAGTCTATATCTGGAGGAAATGATGCTTCTACCTCTTACTACTTAGTATACTGATGGCAGTTGCTACCTTATAGGTAGCCTTGGGATACCGAATGGGTCCCCAGAAACTGTTGTATAAACAAGGCTATGTTTATACTTTGTTTAACAAACAAGTGCTCAACGGGCTGAGCTACACACTGTATGGTGTATTATAAAAGTAGAACACTCCCCTATGGCTACAGACAGTTGGGCTATGTATAAGGGGTTAGCTGGTTGCCACAATAAAAAAGCCAGAACTGACAAATGGGACAAAGTACCCTATGGGATATGCAGTTGTGGCAAAACTTATGGGACCAGGGACTTATCAGTAGCAGTATGTTCTGTGTTGTTATCATCTTTCCAGGGTAAACAATAACTGCTGTCCTGGGCACACATATATGCTCATGTGCTATCCAAGAGGACTAGAACTGTCTATGCCAGTGCAACCATCCAGGATGGGAATAGGATCAACAATGACAGCTGATTAAGCCTTTGTGAAGACAGGGTCATGGCAATGTGCCACCCCTATTGGCTATGCCCTATGAAATGGGTGGGGATGGATATCAGCAGAACATGTGAAATTACAAGTGCAAGCACCCGTATGTATAAAACAAACCAAGGGAGACTCTAAGTGGGTAGCTGGTTGGCTATCTAGAGAATTCTGTAATACTATTATTTATCCTTCACTTGGACGTTGGTGAGATAATCATTCTTATACTGGTACTACCTGGGTATATACGGGTATGTGGACATCATGGATGGCCCTATATTTTAGGACATTGGTTAGGGCATTGTACTTGGGGTCATCCACATATACATGAGACCATTTGGGCTACTTTTCAATAGGCCCCTGACTACTGGGATGCTGTGTACCATAGATGGCACAGGACCAAGGGGAAATAATGCAAATAGATGCCCTCACGGATGACCCTTTACAAAAATGGTGGAGTAACCTAGGGTCCACCTGGTGGTGGCTAATGTTGTGCCTCGTAGATTCAAGGAGCTTCCTTATGGGCCCAAATACCATGCATCTGCATGAAGAGGGGGGTGAAGTGTATGGAGACCATAGTCTCAGTAATGCAAGTGCAACCTTGGTTGGAGCAGGTACAGCCCTGGGAACACTGTCTTGGGAACAGCACAGCCTTAAAAGGGCAACCATGGAAATGCTGTAACCATGAAACTCTGTCTTAAAAATGCAACCTTGGAAAAAAACACAGAACCTAACCTTAAACCACTAGGCCCCAGCTGGATGCTAAAGTGTACTTATATAACAGTGTGTGTGTTTATGAGCCCAGACTACTGTGTAACTGGCTTTTGGGGTTTTAAAAGACAGGGGATGACAGGTTGCCCCTGTCTCTCCTTCCCTCCTGCTGTCTGCTGTGTTGTTGCTTAAAATGAAGCTGTCTATCTATACATGCAATTGCCTCTTGTTCCACATGCATTCTTTCAATTATCCACCAGACCCATGCTGGCACCATTGGTCAAAACAGTGAGCATGACAAGATCTACAAAATAAACACATACAGCTGAAAAAACAGAAATGAGATAAAACTAGTTTAGAAATTTCATGAAAACAAAAGCAAAAACCACTGAAGAAATCTTGTAGTAAAACTTTCATTTCTGCTTATTTCCTTTCAACTTTTGTTAGTATTTATGTATACTCTGTGTGGCTATGCTTACAAAATATATGTAAATTTATATAGAGAAATGGACCTGTGTTTTATTTTTTTGCAGTGCAGAGGATTCAATCTAGAGATTAATGCATGCAAAGCAAGTGCTCTACCACTAAGCAACATCCCTACCCAGGTAAAATTGTATTGTAAACTATATTCTATCACTAGGAATTTATATATCTCCATATGCTCTCAGTGAGTATTATTTAAAATACTGATGTAGAATTGGGCAATGCCAGAACTGTAGGTGAATTACCAAATTATAAACCAGATGATGCATTGGTTATGATGCCACCAAGTGAACACACTATGTAATACTGCTGAGACTGGATATGGATTCAGTATATGGAGAAATCAGTGAAGGAAAAGAGTGTCCTATAGAAACTGAGCCTTTTACAACTGAAACCATAGGTGAGAATGGTCTATCTTAAATTCCAATCCAAAGAATGATTTAGGGATCTCCAGGGCAAACTGACATTGCTCTGGGTCAACCAAGCAAGTTCTAACAAAACAAGTAGCTCTGGCAGGAAGCACAAATGATGACCACCTGGTGAAGACAGCCTGGAAGGCAAAGGATAGAAGGGAAGCTATTTCCACTTGGACAAGGACTTGCTGTCCCTCTTTAGGAGTTGCCAGATTTTCTCCCATGGTCCCTCACTTCTCCAGTGTAAGCCTGCTATTATATAGAAAAAACAACTGATTGGACAACAAAGGAAAGAGGACTTCAAGAAATAGTTTGGTCCCTGCAGCGTCCACAAATCAATGACCTTTTCAGAGGAATGCCTGGAAATGACCCCACACCTTTGCTGCCATCAAGTGGGTGATCAGTATACCCTCCACTCTACCTGAAGCCCAACACTCCTGCCTTTCTCTGACAATTTTTACCTCCTATTTCTTGGTCATTTAAAGATGACAACCTACATAGACTTCAATAAGGAACCATGCAAAACAAACAAGCAAACTCTAGGCAGGCCCTAAAGGAATTCTTAAAGGAAAATCATGAGCCAGTAAAGTGAGAACACATGACAGAAACATAGTCATGGAGACTGAAGCTCAGGAGGCCATTGCCTCTCTGTGGGGAGTTGCAGAGTCCATCTTCTCCTGGCTAAAATATGGGTTTTCTCCTCTGCTTGTTTCAACTTCAATTCTACTTCTTAACTGGAAAACCACTCATCAGGTAAAAACTTTCAAAGGCACTGAATGGTAAGCCTCCTTTAAACTGCTTCTGCTGGATGATCAACACCATACTCTGAAGCAGCCATCTATTTCCTGTCAATCCTTTCTGAAATATCTCATGTATAGACTAACATATATTTAGCTATTCTCCACAAATATACATTCTATCCCATCCACCTTTTTGGGTTATTCCAATGTCAAATCACCACATACAGTGATGCTTTTTTCACTAATTAATACAATATATCATGGAGTTTATACCATACCAGTAAATTCATTTTGAAGTTGTATCATATTCTGTGACATAGATGCCCCATAAATATTTAATAATACACAGTTTGTTTCCAACATTGTGACACTTTAATTATCATCTCACCTAAAATTGTCCGGGCAAATTTGATTGCTTTCTCAAGTGGGTCAGAGTTCACAACTTTGTCCAGAATACCCAGCTTGAATGCTTCACCTGCCAGAATACATCTTCCTAAAACAAAAGAAAGAAAACAAAACAAAGAACAATGTGAGAGGAAAGCAGAGCATTGCTGTCTCTAGTACAGAAGGCTGCCTATTGTTAGTAAAATGGGTAAGATTACCCTGAGTGCTGAAGTAGCAAGCTCACTGCAGACATAGCCAGAAAACTTGGATTCCAGCCACAGCTGTAATCTTCAAATTTTCAGTGACTGTGTCTCCTCCAGGACCACAATTTCCTCATTGATAAATTATAAATCACTATAGAAGCATTTTATATGCTACAATCACTGACAAATTATGAGATGGTCCATTCATATAAGTAGTAGAAACACTACTATATACCTTGTGCCTACCACACACCGGGGCCTGCAGTTAACTAACTATAAAGACAGCCCTCAAATGTAAATGTAGTTGGTTAGACAGCAAAAAAAGTGTCAAGTTGACATTATAAAAGTACGTAAAAATTATGTAGAAGAAATGGGGCAGACTTCTACTATATTTTGGTGCTCAGCATGTGGACCCTGCATTAAGTTTGTGGAAACTCTGTCTGTAAGCTTTATAGCGTGTCTCCATCTGTGAAAGCTGAAAAAGAAGACACTTGTTGCCTCAGTTCCCAGCAATGGGGTGCGGGCCGTGGCCCCACAGTTGCTGAACTGGGTGCTCTGTTGAGGGTTCAGAGTCTGGAGTCAGCGATGCTAGAAGCAGCACAGTTTACATCTTGCCTCACAGGTGGCAGCATCGAGTCTGGTGGTGGAGATGGTGGAACTGTCAGCCTCCAGTGTTGAGCAGTGGCACTGGAAGCCTCAGTATGGAATGTCACCCCTAATAGGTCACAGAAATTTGATGAGGGTTTGCATCTCTCCAGAATTATCTTGGCACTTCTTCATCCATGGTCAAGATAGAATTTGATGTGCGTGTTCAGAAGTAGGTGTCTTCACCACCCCTTCTGAAAGGGCCGGAAAGAAGGACACAAGGTCATACAGCTTGCATTCTTGCTGGAGCCTGCATTCTTGCTGGAACATCCTGAGAAGTGATCTTCAAATCAGCCTCCATGGCAACAATTCCAGTGTCTGCCACATTCTTTCGGTGTTGGTGGATGCCATCCCTGGGACAAAAGATCCAGCCCTTATCTGGGGAGTGCTTCAGAGAACTACAAATGGGGTTTTGTGACCAGAGAGTTATCCAGTGATTTTCCAGTGATTTTCTCTTTGGAAAAGCAATATTTGGGCACTTTTCTGGAACTGCCATTGAAAACAGGTTTCTAGATCTCCTCTTGGAGTGAAGAGAGTGGGGAATGAGTGAGTGGTGTCAGGGATCAAGTTTCCTGTATATGAATGAGTGAGTCAGCCTAGCCAGGTTAAGGGGAACAAGGGGACACAATATGGGTACAGCATGGGGCAACAGTGCAGGGACCTGAGCTATCCACAGTAGGGACTGACTGTTTTTCCAGGAGCAATCATATCTTCTGGATGGATTTCACACAAAAGGAATAGTGCTATTATTGTTCTTTCAGTGTTGATGACATTTCAGTGCCTTTATTCTGATTCAAAGAACTGAGGACCTAGAGACAGGGCTCTAATGTCCAATCCAAACCCACCTGCTGTGCTTTAACATGTTTTATCTTGGGCCACACTCAGTGTAAATGACAATCCCTGTCTAATGGGCTCTAACAAGAGCCCTGTGTTGGTAACTTACAAGGAAATCAAGGCAACCGGTGGAGAGTTCTTTCTTCAAGCTGGAGAATCTCAATTTTTTTCCAATTTTCTTCATCATTTCTTTTCTAAACTTTAAAAGTCTTTTTCTTTATGGAATCCTTTCCAAATGTCATTTAAAGTTGTCCCTAAAGCATACCTCCTCAAAAGACAGGTATGATTCTAAAATCAGCATTCTTCTAATTCATGGTGAGCGTTTCTATGCAAGTCAAAAATACATCACATTCTTACCATTTTTACTTTTTGTTTTCATTATGTTAATAATAAGGATATTTTCTGAACCAGTGCCCTGGGAAAAGGCCATCCTGGTTCACTTCATTCCTTTATGTTAAAGAAGCCACTTCTCTTTCTTGTTTCCCCAGATGTTCTTCGTTTCATAACTGGACAACAGAAACACAAAAATTCTCCACATTTCCCAACATGCTTTAATTTATGCAAACTTTGGGATTTGTACACTCATTTCACATGATGATGATTTCCTTCTATTCTTCATTCTTTGTCATGATCTTCATGAATTCCACATTGGATGCTAAAAGTAGCTTCCAGTCTTTAAAATGTACTTATCAAGAAAAAGCAAGACAGTAGAGAGTAACATCAAGTTAGGTACACACAATCAAACCTTAAAATAACTAAGACAACTAAATGGCAGGAATCACCACATACCTATCAGTACTAACACTTAATGTTAATGGACTTAATTCACCCATCAAAAGACACCGTTTGACAAAATGGATTAAAAAAGAAGATCCAACAATTTGTTGCTTACAGGAGACTCATCTCACCGACAGAAATAAGCATATGCTTAGGATGAAAGGCTGGAAGAAGATTTACCAAGCCAATGGCCCCCAAAAACAAGCAGGAGTAGCAATACTTATCTCTGACAAAGTAGACTTCAAACCTACATTGATCAAACGAGATAAAGAAGGACAGTCCATACAAGTAAAAGGGGAAATAGACCAAAAGGAAATAATAATCATCAATCTGTACGCACCCAATGTCAATGCACCCAATTTCATCAAACATACCCTGAAAGACCTAAAAGCATATATAAACGCCAACACAGTGGTTGTGGGAGACTTTAACACTCCATTATCATCAATAGATAGGTCATCCAAACAAAAACTCAATAAAGAAATCCAAGATCTAAAATATGCAATAGATCAAGTGGACCTAGTAGATGTCTACAGAACATTTCATCCAACCTCTACACAATATACATTCTTCTCAGCAGCCCATGGAACCTTCTCCAAAATAGATCATATCCTAGGGCACAAAGCAAGCCTCAGCAAATATAAGAAAATAGAAATAATACAGTGCATACTATCTGACCACAATGCAGTAAAAGAGAACTCAACAACAAAAGTAAAGACAAAAAACATGCAAACAGCTGGAAACTAAATAACTCATTACTTAATGAAGAATGGATCATCGATGCAATAAAAGAGGAAATTAAAAAGTTCCTGGAAGTCAATGAAAATGAAAACACAACCTACCGGAACCTATGGGACACAGCTAAGGCAGTCTTGAGAGGAAAGTTTATAGCCATGAGTGCATATATTAAAAAGATTGAAAGATCCCAAATCAATGACCTAATGATACATCTCAAACTCCTAGAAAAACAAGAACAAGCAAATCCCAAAACAAATAGAAGGAGAGAAATAATAAAAATAAGAGCTGAAATCAATGAAATAGAAACCAAAAAAACCATACAAAGAATTAATGAAACAAAAAGTTGGTTCTTTGAAAAAATAAACAAGATCGATAGACCCCTGGCAAACCTGACTAAAATGAGGAGAGAAAAAACCCAAATTAGTAGAATTAGGAATGCAAAAGGGGAGATAACAACAAACACCATGGAAGTCCAGGAAATCATCAGAGACTACTTTGAGAACCTATATTCAAATAAATTTGAAAATCTTAAAGAAATGGACAGATTTCTAGATACATATGATCATCCAAAACTGAACCAAGAGGAAATTAATCACCTGAATAGACCTATAACACAAAATGAAATTGAAGCAGCAATCAAGAGTCCCCCAAAAAGAAAAGTCCAGGACCTGATGGATTCTCTGCTGAATTCTATCAGACCTTTAAAGAAGAACTGATACCAACCCTCCTTAAACTGTTCCATGAAATAGAAAGGGAAGGAAAACTGCCAAACACATTTTATGAAGCCAGTATTACACTTATCCCAAAACCAGGCAAAGACACCTCCAAAAAGGAGAACTATAGGCCAATCTCCTTAATGAACATTGATGCAAAAATCCTCAAAAAACAATGGCAAACCGAATTCAGCAACACATCAAAAAGATTATTCACCACGACCAAGTAGGCTTCATCCCAGGGATGCAGGGGTGGTTCAACATACGAAAATCAATAAACGTAATAAACCACATTAACAGAAGCAAAGACAAAAACCACTTGATCATCTCAATAGATGCAGAAAAAGCCTTTGATAAGATCCAACACATTTCATGATAAAAGCTCTAAGAAAACTAGGAATAGAAGGAAAGTTCCTCAACATTATAAAAGCTATATATGACAAACCTACAGCCAGCATTATACTTAATGGAGAAAAATTAAACCATTCCCTCTAAAATCAGGAACCAGACAAGGATGCCCACTATCTCCACTCCTATTCAACATAGTACTGGAATTCCTAGCCAGAGCAATTAGGCAAGAAGAAGGAATAAAAGGAATACAAATAGGTAAAGAAACTGTCAAAATATCCCTATTTGCAGATGACATGATCCTATACCTTAAAGACCCAAAAAACTCTACTCAGAAGCTTCTAGACATCATCAATAGCTATAGCAAGGTAGCAGGATATAAAATCAACATAGAAAAATCATTAGCATTTCTATACACTAATAATGAACAAACTGAAAAAGAATATATGAAAACAATTCCATTTACAATAGCCTCAAAAAAATCAAATACCTAGGTGTAAACCTAACAAAAGATGTGAAAGACCTCTACAAGGAAAACTATACACTTCTGAAGAAAGAGATTGAGGAAGACTATAGAAAGTGGAGAGATCTCCCATGCTCATGGATTGGTAGAATCAACATAGTAAAAATGTCGATACTCCCAAAGTAATCTACATGTTTAATGCAATTCCCATCAAAATTCCAATGACATTCATTAAAGAGATTGAAAAATCTACTGTTAAATTTATATGGAAACACAAGAGGCCACGAATAGCCAAGGCAATACTCAGTCAAAAGAACAATGCAGGAGGTATCACAATACCTGACTTCAAACTATATTACAAAGCAATAACAATAAAAACAGCATGGTACTGGCACAAAAACAGACATGAAGACCAGTGGAACAGAATAGAGGACCAGATATGAAGCCACACAACTATAACAACTTGTCTTTGACAAAGGAGCTAAAAATATACGATGGAGAAATAGCAGCCTCTTCAACAAAAACTGCTGGGAAAACTGGTTAGCAGTCTGCAAAAAACTGAAACTAGATCCATGTATATCACCCTATACCAAGATTAACTCAAAATGGATCAAGGATCTTAATATCAGACCCCAAACTCTTAAGTTGATACAAGAAAGAGTAGGAAATACTCTGGAGTTAGTAGGTATAGGTAAGAACTTTCTCAATGAAACCCCAGCAGCACAGCAACTAAGAGATAGCATAGATAAATGGGACCTCATAAAACTAAAAAGCTTCTGTTCATCAAAAGAAATGGTCTCTAAACTGAAGAGAACACCCACAGAGTGGGAGAAAATATTTGCCAACTATACATCAGACAAAGGACTGATAACCAGAATATACAGGGAACTTAAAAAACTAAATTCTCCCAAAACTAATGAACCAATAAAGAAATGGGCAAGTGAACTAAACAGAACTTTCTCAAAAGAAGAAATTCAAATGGCCAAAAACACATGAAAAAATGCTCACCATCTCTAGCAATAAAGGAAATGCAAATTAAAACCACTAAGATTCCACCTCACCCCTGTTAGAATAGCCATCATCAGCAACACCACCAACAACAGGTGTTGGCGAGGATGGGGAAAAAGGAACCCTCTTACACTGTTGGTGGGAATGTAGACTAGTACAACCACTCTGGAAAAAAATTGGAGGCTACTTAAAAAGCTGGACATCGATCTACCATTTGATCCAGCAATACCACTCTTGGGGATATACCCAAAAGACTGTTACTCCAGAGGCACCTGCACATCCATGTTTATTGGCACTATTCACAATAGCCAAGTTATGGAAACAGCCAAGATGCCCACCACTGACGAATGGATTAAGAAAATGTGGTATCTATACACAATGGAATTTTATGCAGCCATGAAGAAGAACGAAATGTTATCATTCGCTGGTAAATGGATGGAATTGGAGAACATCATTCTGAGTGAGGTTAGCCTGGCCAAAAGACCAAAAATCGTATGTTCTCCCTCATATGTGGACATTAGATCAAGGGCAAACACAACAAGGGGATTGGACTTGAGCACATGATAAAAGCGAGAGCACACAAGGGAGGGTGAGGATAGGTAAGACACCTAAAAAACTAGCTAGCATTTGTTGCCCTTAACGCAGAGAAACTAAAGCAGATACCTTAAAGCAACTGAGGCCAATAGGAAAAGGGGAACAGGTACTAGAGAAAAGGTTAGATCAAAAAGAATTAACCTAGAAGGTAACACCCACGCACAGGAAATCAATGTGAGTCAATGCCCTGTATAGCTATCCTTATCTCAACCAGCAAAAACCCTTGTTCCTTCCTATTATTGCTTATACTCTCTCTACAACAAAATTAGAAATAAGGGCAAAATAGTTTCTGCTGGGTATTGAGGGGGGGGAGGGAGGGGGGAGTGGGTGGTAAGGGAGGGGGTGGGGGCAGGGGGAGAAATGAACCAAACCTTGTATGCACATATGAATAATAAAAGAAAAATGAAAAAAAAATAAAAATGAGAAATGAAAAAAAAACGAGGAAAAGGAAAAAAAATGTACTTATCATATCGTGCTCTATTCATACTGTATATATTAACTGCCCAATAGTCATTACTTCATTATATGATTAGTACTGCTATCCACATTTATGAATAATCTAAGGAACAGAAAAGCATAGCAGCTGACCCAAGATTTCATAATTAACTGTACCTCTTGGGAGTAAATAGTTGTGTAAGTTCTTTCTTCCAACTTTACCTTTTTTATAAGTCTTACAAAATAAAATATTTGGTATATCTAGGGTTTAGTGTTACATTGTTCACATTCCCTCTTGATAATAAAGACTTCCATATGTAATGAATATTTTACTATTAGAAAATGAATACTTCAGTCATTTGCCCATTAAAACTTGAAAACTCAGATTGTAAATCTTGTTGATATTAAAATTTCTAAACCAGATCTGAATATAATATTCCCCAAATGAACACCAAGGTCTATAAATACTCAAGCTTTAATACAACCCCAAATTTGCTTATTCTTTTGAACACACTTTCCTTTAGAAGGCTCAATCATGGGATCTTCATGGTAACATTTGAGAAGTTCTCACAGAAGTTACTGTTGCCACTTTAAGATGAGAAATTGTGAGGCAAGGTTAAAGAATCCCCTCAATTACATGCGATAGTTTAGTGGCCAAACCAGGATGTTTCTAGATGCTGCGTCCAATTCTTCACATTTATCTAGAAGCTGCTGGGAAGGTTTACACTGACCTGAGGTGATTAAGTCAAGTGCATGGCAGGAGGTCCAATGAGTCTGGCGGAGAAAGCTGGCGTTCCTCGTGCTCCAGGAAGGTAATTCCAGTGTGTGACTTCTGGGAAGCCAGTCTCAGTCTGTCAGAGATTGCAGGTAGAAAAGGCCATTACAATGACCTTTATAATATATGAAGAGCTTAGACAAGCATTGCCAAGATTTCCTACCCTCAGTGCATTGTTTCATCCAAGTCAGCCAGAGTTTCCACAGGGATAAAGAA